TTCTGCAGGAATTTTTAAATCACCAATGCTCAGAGAAATAGAATTAAGTCAGAGAACATTTAGATGTCCCTGGAAATGCTGTCAAACACCTGAAGGTGGCTGTGGGTCAGGGGAGGCTGACTCTGGTGACAATAAGTATCTCCACAAATGGGGACAACCTCTCTAGGCAATTGTTGATAATTCAACAATTCGGTGTTGAATTATCCTTAGAAAAACCAAGGGGGTTTCTTCTGCCTGAAGAGAATTCCCTGTTCCAGTTCATGCACAGTCTCTTGTGCTATCCCTGAACACCACTGGGAATAATATGTCTCCAACATATTTTCTCTCCCCCTCAGGTATTTGTGCACACAGACAAGATCTCCCTGAGCTGTGCCTTCTCCAGGAAGAGCAGTCCCAGGTCTCACACTCTCCTTGTTCGACAGATGCTCCAAATCCCTTCACCATCCTCACAGCCCTTCACTGCACTCACTCCAATGTGTCCATGACTTTTTTTGGACAGGGGAGCCCAATGCTGGACCCAGCAGCCCAGGTGTGGCCTCAGCAGTGCTGAGCAGAGCAGGATCATTGTCCCCTGACTTGCTGCAACGCTCTGAGGGCTGCCCAGGGTGCCACTGCCCTTCTGTACTCTACACACACATTGCTGTCTCATGTTCAACTCATTGCCAGCCAGTGCCCCCAGGTCCTTTTCCACAGAGCTGTTTTTCCAGCTGTTTTCCACACCCCGGCAGGTCCACGGGGTTGTTCCTGCAGCAGGAGGTGCAGGATTTGGCATTTCCCTTTGCTGGACTTTGTAAGATTCCTGTTGGTGCCCATTTCTCCAGCCTTGTGGAGGTCACCAACTCTACAACATCCAACAAAGCCAATCTTTGATAAACCATGGCCAGAAATATGGTAGACAATCAGCAACTCACCCCCTTACAGTTAAAGGGCAACCCTCAAAGAAATAACAATTTGAAGGGAGATTCCTACCTGATTTCAGGCAATTCTACATAATTTGGAGTAGAAGCAAAGTAGTGACTTTTCACACAAACCAATGCTAATGTTTGCTGCATCCTGGGCTGCCAGAACCACTGGGACAGCAGCTCCTGCTGAGGCTGAACAGTGAAACATGAGCTGTGCTGCCCACACAACGTGTGTTGCTCAGTCCAGCTCTGCTGTACTGCCTTGCCTTCCCATTCCAGAGCCACCTGTGGTACCTGTATCCCCTCTTCTGTGTCAGAACTAAAAAAAAGAGTTCCACAGAGCATATCTTGCCTTTTTTTTTTTTTTTTAATTTTCAAACTCAATGTACATTAAACCCAGCACACAACTTCCACATGTCCAGCCCAGCGTGGCTGCCTTTGGATTTCCTAGGCTGGGATGAAAGCATGGATCAGCACTCAGGATGGCAGCCAGCATGGCTGAGCTTCTGTCTCCATGGGAATCACTAGTTCAAATGAAAAGTAAAATACGAAGGTTTATCTGAAACAGACTTTGCTACCAAGGAGGCATTTGTCTGGCAGTTCAAGCAGAAAAATCTACTGAGAAAATCACTCTAACAAATCTGTCACTTCAGTGTCCACTGTCTGAATCAACAAGTCTCTGCAACACTTATTTGCCACAGCTTCAAGGCAGAAATCCTCCCTCAGCACCAGCATGAGCCATCCCAGAGGAGATGGACACACTGCCAGTATGCAGGAAGGACACACATTCGAGTAAAAACAGAAATGAAGACAATAACACACAAACACCATAAACCCAGCAACTGTAAATATTAGAAAATAGAGCATACTTTTTTCAATTTGTTGTATACATTATAGTTTTGAACACATACCTAGATAATCCTCCGAGTACCAAATTTGCTTTACTGAGTAGGATAAAATATAAAACTCCAACAAACTGAAATGCTGAGATGCTGTCTACTGCATTGCTGAAAACAGGTGCAATTCTTAGGAGCAGGGAGCTGCCATCTACCACAAGCAATGCAGCTCCCAAGAATAGAAAGCATTGACTCACTAGAGATGAAAAGGAGAATATAACAAGAGAGGGAAAATAACTGAATTTTACACATCACATTTCTAAAGGAGAACAAGATCCTTGAGTAAGAGACTGTGTAGGTCCGGACAGCACAGAAACCACAGATCCCAAGAAGTTCCATTTAGGAAAAAGGCCTTCTCCCCCACAGAGCATATTTAACTGCACACCTTTGTTCCCATCACAGAGTGCATCCTGCAGGAGAGGCACCAGCTGCCTCCCACCCAAACAGGGCTGGCTTGGGGGGCTGTGAGCCATTGTCATGCAGAGCCAGCTCCATTTGGTGCTGACACTCTAAACCTGAGTGAAGTACTCTGGAGTTGGAGACAAAACAGCAAAAGTGAGACATTTCTAGTGAGAGCCACAAGCTATGAACTGTGGATTCCTGGAGAACACCCCAGCCTTGGAGGGGACAGGCTGGACCTGCTGGATTTCACTCACTCTTCTACCTGGGCTGACATCTCAAGCTGTATGGAGAGCGTGGCTTTGTTTTGAAAGACATTAGACACATTTCATTGTGCATCAGCAATTCCACCCACGGAGATTTCTTAAATCTGTCCAGCTTTGGCATGTTTTACAACTCTAAATTCTTCCATTTACCCCTCCTTTCTCAGAGCACCCTTAGGCATGGTGGATTTACTGCTCTGCAGATGCCTCCAGTCTGCCTGAAGCAAAGGGGATGTGAAGCCATCAGGCTGCAGGATGGCTTCCACAACCCACATGCGAAACACAAGCACACAGAGCAATTTGCTCCTCAAACCGATGGGAATTCAGAGAAATTAGGGAGTGATTTTATCTTCTGACTCCCTTCCCCAGCATACAGCCCTCCATTTTGCAAAACAGTGAACTGCTCCCCAGCCAGTTGTGGCAAGATGCACAATGACCTTTAAGAGTCTGTCATAAGAGATTAAAGATTTAGCACATTTACAGCATGGACATAATAACCAAAAACACTAGAGCAGAAATTGGACCCTTTCTCCTCTCCACTGTGAGAAAAAAGCTCAAAAATCACCAAGCTTGATGACTGGAGCCATATATATTGTGGAGGAAGCAAGACAACATTTAAGCCAAGATTTTTGCCTTCCACTTGTCATAAGCCAATTGTACCAACACTCAGTTTACTTTGGCTGATTGTAGTACAGTGTTCCTGCCAGGACCATCATCACTCTTCTCCTTTTCCTCCCTCCACTGCACTGCTGGTACAACAAAAGCTGCTGACCTATTCCAAGCCCTCCTCTTTCCTGGGCACTTTTCAGAGCAACCAGTGTGCAGATGAGAGGGAGCCCACAGGAAGGAAGAATGGCACAGCTGAGGCCAGCCAGCTTCTTTGCAGCATTTCTGTGCTTATTTGGCACAACAGCTCAGGAACTGTATTACGTGTGCCACTTCCATAGGAACTAAATTTCTAGCTGATCAATTTATGTTGAAATATATCCCAAGATGTTTATCCATGATGAGTGGAGGCTGCAGTAACCCAGCTACCATAACCAGATGGCACCACTGTTGCAGAGCTTATTCTCTCAAAAGCAGAGATGAAGCGCACAACATTGCTTTCATCTATACACCAGCAAAATCTGAAATGCAATCACTTTCCTGACTTAAATGGTTGCAGTCATAAAAACTCAGCTATACCAGAACAAGAGGTTTTAACATAAAGGTTTGTGAAGTAAAAGCATATTAGAAAACTTTAAACTTCATGAAATCTTATTTTCTAAAGAAGCCTTAGGATGAAAGCATAATGAATCAGTTTCTGTGACAGTGAGTAACCTTTGGATGCTCAAATTGCACATAATTTTCCACATTCACTCTTTCTCATCATGCCCAAGAGGACACAAAACCATGTGTTTAGCATGAACATCGCTGCAGCCACCATGAACACCACTTTTATTGAGGAAAATCAGCACAAAGGGGACACTGCCCAGTCTTGTTGTGCAAACAAATAGATCCCCAATTTCTGTCAGAGCTGGGGTGGTCCTCCACAGCCTCATTAGAATCACGGCAACATTGCTGACAAATTTCCATGCATTTTTTTACACATTACGTGGTAGAAAACTTTGTTGCAAGGGCAGAACAGGATAGTCCCTGTTCAAGTGAAAACTGGTTGCCTTCAACTACTTGTAGCCCAGGTCATCACCAAAGCCCAAGGGTTTAAGTGAATTTTCCAGCCTGGAGATGCTCACAGTGCCCAGTGCAGGCTGGTATTCCTGTGTTGGCTTACTTTGCTGAGCACAAAAGTGCTGAGGAAATAGAAGCAATAACAGCCTAACCTGTCCAGGAGCTTACAGAACCATCAGCATGAGGAATAATACTGCAATACTTCCCATGATGCATATAAACCACAGCAATTGTTAATATTTCCATGCTTACATCCATTGTTATAATAGGTCAGATATAGCTGTATAAGAGAAAAACCTCAACAAAACAAAAAAAGAGGGTGGTGGGGTGGTGTTTGAATTATTTCCAAAATATTCTTTTATGTAGAGAATATCCCAGAACCTCTTCTTTCCTAGATGCAAGATCTTCTTCGAGAAGAACTTCTAAGACCAGCTAAAGCCAAAAATAATCCCAAGACATCTCCAGATTCAAATGCCATGCAAGCAAAGCATCAACCTGCCATGCAAGCAAAGCATCAACCTAAACATTAAAATCCATATTTAGGACCAAGCCAATACTTATCTAATAAATTGATGAAACCAATGAATAGAACCTTCAGTAAACAACACATCAGCTTTTGTGTTTGCATTAAAAAAGTTAACCAGTCATAGTTACCTAATAGAGAAAGACACTGCAGCCTTCAGATATATCACAGAGGTTCTTGCTGCTGATACAGAGCCTTAGGTGATGGTTACAGGAGCTGTGCTGAACAGGAAAGCAAAAGGTTTTTTTTTTCCCAAAATTAGAAATATACAATTTCCAAAAATGGGAGCAAAAGACAAAAGCTAATGAAAAATACTGCTGAAGAAATGTTTAATTAAAAAAATCAGGAATTCAACAGTGCCTAAATCTTTATTTTTCATAACCTACATATTTTTTTTCAAATTAGACAGTTTTACATTTTTATGACACAAAAGGAAACTTAAATTACTGATAGTTTACATGTAAGCTTGATTCCAGTCTTAATGGAAGAAGAACAAAAACAAAAACCCTCAAAAAGGCTCCCATATTACACTTCTATTTTGTGAATTGGCAGCTGTTAGGTGTCCTCAGAAATCTTGGATTGTCTGCTGCTACTAGTGTAATAGGCTCCGAAGCACAAACCCCTACCTGGAGCTGAAGGAGATACAGAGATAGGTGTGCACCATTACAGTCAGCTGTTGCTCCTGATACACTGCCCCTGCTCCAAGGGCCTTTCCCAGCCAAGGGCTCAAGGCTTTGAAGGACAAGGCAGCAACATAAAAAATCTGCCACTGCTCACAGGTTTCTATGTGACACTGTCACGGGGTGGGACTGATCTGAAATGACATTCAGTTTTGAAAGCAACCTTTTTTTAACAATTCCTGGAAGAACCTCAGATCCCATTTTGACTTGTTTTCCAAATGAAAAGCATCACCACGCAGTTCTAACAGGGTAAAATGCCAATTTTAATTACTGGATCCCTGAACCTTGAGCTCAGCTACTGCTTTTGGGAGATTTTTAATTTTAAAAGCTATGTTTTAATCCCTCTCTGTATCATAGCAACAGTCTGCATGCAACTTCACAACTCTACTCCAAAAACTCCATTTTGTCACTGAGTGGGGGTGGGGGGAAATAAATCTCAAAGCAAAATACAGTAAGGAGAAGTTGTATTGTATATTACAGAGCGATTTGGCGTGTCACTTTTTTTAAAAAAAAGCTATAAAACCACATCAGAGGAAGGTTTTAACTTTAGATGCAACAGACTGTTGCTGGGTAAGCAGTAATTACAGTGTATTGACCTATCACAAATGGCAGCAGAATACATTAGAACAGCACAACACATCCCAGTGGTCTCAACAGATCACCTGGGGCACCGGCTGAGCACCAGCACGAGCCGCTCGCAGCCGCTGGAAGGGAGCACTCGCCACTGTCTGCAGCTGGTAAAGCCTTTCAATGCAGCAGACAAACAGAATGAGTCATACAGCTGGCCTAAACCACACACAAATCTAGCCACCGCTTTCACTGCCGCTGGGGAAAGGAGAATGGGCTAAAAATCCAATGACAGAAGGAGCTGAGCAGTTTTGGTGATGGTGTCGGGGTCCTATCTCCTCCCTCAGCATTCACAAAGTGCGCTTTTGAAACAGGAAAAATCAACAGACTCCACGTGCCCTATTTTGACCAATTCTGCAGCATACAACAGGCTGGATTTACAATGCCAACTAGTTACCAATTGATGCTTGTAATAGGAAATTTATCAGGAGTCAACTTCTATAGTTACTTTACAGTTCTATGAACCATGCATTGATACTCTTGAAAGCAGACAAGTAAGCTTCAGTGTATATTTTTGCAGCAGTCAAGTTTTTCCCCAATTAGACTTGATTTTTTATTAATGACTTAAAAATTACAGTTTGACTGCTGAAATTCATTATTTACATTGCAGAACACTTTTGAATTGGTTAAATTGTTTGGTTTTAAAGGGACTTTAGGAAAATATTTGAGGGCTTTCAAATAAGACTTTCGTTCCATTTCCCTTTTGCAGTGAAGAGGCAGAGTCAGTTCAACACACCAGAATAAAATAAGAAAAAGAAAAAACAACAAATTAAAGTAATATTCAAACCACAACATTTAGTTTATCTACATCCAGCTCAACAGCAACATTTATAATATCAATAATTTTTATCAGATTTTTTTCTTTAGGGTACCTTTTTATATGTTCTGATTATTTACAACTGTACAAGCAAAGCACACACTTCCAAGTGCACATATTTAATACAGTATTGACTATTTGCATTTACAGGTTTTTCAACAATCTGAAAAAGATCAACTGTTTAAGATCTTTAAGGTATATTACAAAAACTGCTGCTAGTTCCTGTACTACAGTATGTTTACCCAGTAAGACCAGTGACAATAGATACATACTGTAACTGAGTAATTCTGTATGCCATTCATGCTAACCCTCCACGGGGTCAGACCTCATTAACTCTAAACTGTCTTGTACAAAAGTTAAGGCAAAGTCATTTTCAAGTTTAAATAAAATTCAAGTCTTTAAATATTGGATGGAAATAATTCTTTAAAAAAATCAGTTGTTTAAATAAACATTTTTGTGGAATAAACTGTACTGTCATAGTCAGCAGGAATGAGTTTTGTCTGAACTTCCTGCAGTTTAAACACTTAAAGAAAAGCTTTAGGCATTTTAAAACAAAAATAATTTATATTCAACTTTATTAGAAACTTGCTAATTTAGTGCATCCTTGTCCTTCAGAAAGCGCATCACTTCTAAAGTAAATAAGTGTGAGAAACCTCATCCCAGAGGTAAATATCAGGGATCTCTTCCTCCACCACACAAAACAAACACCATTATCTCACGGCTTGAAAAATTGAAATTCATATGCCAATGCTCGTAGTTACAGGAAGATGTCAACACAAGGCTGACTAAGATATGAACTCTTTCAAAGAGCACTTGGGGCAGAGTTTTAAAAAAAAGTCTACACAGAGCACAGGGGTAACCAGAATATACAGCGCTGACTCAGTTAACTCCCTTACAAGCACAGGGAAGCTAAGGTTATCACAAGAAGGCTACTCTGCTTTCTCCTGATAACATCCACTAACAGGCTTCACCACCATAGAAGCTCACAGACTTGATTCTTTCTATTCACAATGTGCTTTGTATTTGCAAATTATAACATCAGTTTTATTCTGGAGTGAGAAGATGGTTACTTGCTTGCAGTAAGTCAAAAAAGGAAATATTTCAGAAAGACTGCTATATGGTGCCCTGTAGAATTCATTTTATGTGTGCAAAACATCAAAAAAAGACTAGGTTTTTAAAAATGCTAGAAACAGCTACTCATTTAACCTAAAAGTGCAAGTTTGTTTGCTGACACTTAGTACAGCAGCCCATTAAAAAAAAGTCTTCAAGGTCACATACTAATTTGTAAAATATATCTACTTTCTTGCACTCTACACACTAGCTGCCGTTATCAAGTCTTTTGGACACTAATTTAGATATGTACTTGCAGACCAGTTTATTAAAAATATTGCAGCAGCATGTTTCTGCTTAACAGTTTAGAAAAAACTCACTATACAGAGCTTGCACTCACACAGCCACAGAGAGGCTTAATAAAAAGTTGATTTTTTTTAAAGACAAATATTTTACACCTTGGAAAAAGAAAAAAAAAATCACACTAAGCTTCACCTCCAATTAAGCACCAATCTAAATGTAAGGTTTAGAACAACTATCCAGAAATACCCAGAAAAATAGAATGCTTGTTCGAGAGGGGGAAAAAGTATTTCACAAAAAAATATCTTGCAGGCATTGTTACATGCCTTGTATCACTGCAAGCTCCTAACCAGCAACTCATTCTCAGGTATCTTAGTGGGAACATGGGTTTAATTTGTGGGAAACAGACCTCTTCTCAAATCCCTCCCAGGTGTTATTTTCACTGAGGAGATTTTGGAGGGGTACTCTGTTCTTTATTTAAGCGTTTGCCAACGGCTGGAGGGGACGATCTGCGTCCTGACTGTCTTCTCTGGTCTTTGGGTTGTCCAGGATGTGACTTTGCAGGAGGAGGTTCTCTGTTTTTCTCTATTGTTTCTGTGGGCTTTTTTTCTTCTTTCCCACATGCTACAGTGTTTGGCTTCTGTTCTTTCTGGGGTTGCAATGTAGGAGGATCCTTAGTTGTTCTCTGGCAAATTTCCGCATAACTAGGTTTTCGCAGTTCCTGGGAAATCAGAAACAAACAGGACAGAGTTAAAGCATTCTAAGGGAAAAAAAACCCTTTTATGAACAAAAAAGGGTGAAGTCCTGTCCCAAAAGACTGATGCACTTAAATATGCAGACGACGGTTTGAGTATGAAGTTTACAAAACTGCATACACAATAAAGCTGAAGAAAAGGTAAAATGTAAAACAGCATGCCAGAAAAATGGGGTACTGGCACAGGGCACAATACTTCATCTTCAAACCCTAAACCAGATGAAACACAATGAATACTCTGGTTTCAATATCAACCTATGTTTTAATACTTCTACCTCAAAGATACTACCAAGAAAAAGATTCAGATAAGGGGGTCTCTTCTGCACTGCTAATTGCATCATTCTATCATGCAAGTAATCATGAAGCCAAACAAGCAAATTTAAAGCTGCTGGACTAATTCTAGGATGCTTGGGCTCACATGATTAGTCAACACTGGGGAGCAATAAATATTCTGTTAAATGCAAACTGGATCATTAAGAAAAAGTGAATAATAAGGTCACTTACTATGGCAGCCCCATTGACTTGTACCGATTTACATGCAGTACTCAGAGTGGAAGAAGAAAGTCTTTCTGTACTCTGTGTCTCTCTCTGCTGTTTATCCACAACTTTGGAGTCCCTGTAATCATCCAGCAGGAAGCAAGGCTCATGAAAAGTGAAAACTTCAGGATAGATGAATAGTTTAATAATAGCTCTAAAAAGTTTGAGTATGACTGCAAGTAGTTACAGCTATAATTTGCCTAGCATATGATGACTAGCATTGCATTAAAAATGCCATCAAAAATAGAAAAAATATATTCCTGTGCAATGTGACACTACCTCTAATTTGTCATGTTCTAATAGCATTTAGTTACTCAGCTATTTGATTTGCAAGTTCCAAATAAAGTGTTACCAAAAATTTTTTTTATGGTATGGACATCAGTACTGCCCACAAGGCCATGGGGTTACTCTCTGTGTTTCAAAGGTATCTAAATACAAGACAGCAAGGTATTCATTAAACTTCTACTCACAGAAACTAAACCACAACACTAAATTTTCTTCTGCTAAATTACTATTATGATTGAATCACTATTATGATATTGTTCAGAAATTAAGCTTTATTGCCTTTACTACAAGTACAACAAAATATTACTTCTTTCATTGATTAAAATTTTAATAGCTATTTACATTGTTCTGCCTGATGAAAGAAAATGCAAATGTGATGCAGAGCAGACTAATTATACCCATGTAATTAAGTGCTTACTCAGTAGGCTGGGGAGGCGAAGGAGACCTTTCAAAGGTCCTGGGCAATGTAGAAGAAACTGGTAACGGCTCTCGAGGAATTCCTGATGGAATAGTGTTTGTACTTGCATCCACATTAATGTTCTGAAGGAGGAAAAAAGGCACAGAAAGACAATCAAAATATCCAATTAATATGGTCTGCCTGAAAATTAGCACAACCAGGGAACACTTCATAGTTTGATTTATACTGGTAAATTGACTATAGGAAGGTACAGAAGGAGCCAATACAGGAATTGTAATGAACATGTTATTTTTTCCTTGACATTTATTTAGAAACACAGATAACACACTGGGGTTATTTCCAAAGAAGTTAAAAGCTTAAGTCCATTTGGGACATATCTGAATGACAAAATCACTTTGAATCATTAAGGTTAGAGAAGACCTTTAATCAATCACCACCTTGTCAACTAGACCACGGCACTAAGTGCCACACCTGGTCATTTCTTGAACACTTCCCAGGGTGGTGACTCCATCACTTCTCTGGGCAGCATGTTCCAACACTTAACTTGCCTTACAGTAAAAAAAAAATTTTCCTGACTTTCAACCTAAATCTCACCTGGCACAGCTTGAGGCCATTTCCTCTTGCCCTGTCACTGGTTGCCTGGGAGAAGAGACCAACCCCCACCTGGCTACAGCCTCTGTGCAGGCAGCTGTAGGGAGTGATAAGGTTTCCCCTGAGCTCCTTTCCTTCAGGTTACATAACCCAGTTCCCTCAGCTGTTCCTCATAACTTGTGCTTCAGACCCTTCACCACCTTTGCTGCTCTTCTCTGGACATCTCCAGTACCTCAATGTCCTTCTTGTATTGGGGGGCCCAAAACTGAACACAGGATTCCAGGTGCAGCCTCACCAGTGCCCAGGACAGGGGGACAATCAGTGCCCGGGTCCTGCTGGCCACACTATTGCTGACCCAAGCCAGGGTGTCATTGGCCTTCCTGGGCACCTGGGCACACCTGGCTCATGTTCAGCTGCTGTCAACCAGCACCCCCAGGTCCTTTCTCCAGGGCCACTTTCCAGCCACTCTGTCCCCAGCCTGTAGCACTGCCTGGGGTTGCTGTGACCCCAATGCAGGACCCAGCACTTGGCTTTGTTGAAGCTCACACAACTGGCCTCAGCCCATCAATCCAGTCTGTCCAGACCTCTCTGCAGACCCTTCCCTTCCTGCCTCCAGCACATCAGCACTCCTGCCCAACTTAGTGCTGTCTGTGAACTTACTGAGGGTGCCCGAGGTTATTAAATCAGACTGGTCCTGATACCAAGCCCTGGGGAATACCACTACTGACTGGACTTCTTTCCACCTGTAAATTCTGCACCTGCTGGTGACAAAGCAGGCTTTGCACCTGTAGACATAACCACAGGCAGTCTATGAAGACAAAAGTCTCCTAGTGCTGAGCACTAAGAACTGTATTCTTCAAAGCTCTAATTCTGTATCATCCCAATATAATGATTTGCTACCAAGCAAAAGCTTTTTCCATAGCCCTCAAAAGATTCTGCCAGTGCCAAGTGATACTGTACTTCTAGATAAATGTCAAATAGGTTCAAGATGAATACGTTAATTTAAATGGTCACAAAATAAGAAAAGACTACTTTGCATTCTGAAAAACATATATCTCACATTTACAACCATTTTGTTTGTTTCAAAGGGTGCTATGTTCTTTGTATTGCTTCTGACCTGTCTCAAAAATTCCAAACCTCAAAGAGATTCTGGTATGCAGAAGGGAAAACAATGGGAGAACAAGCTCAGAAGGAATAAGATAACCCCCTCCTTTTCCCTCAGCCAAGTCACCATTCAAAAGGGCATAACCCTAAGACTCCTCTGGCTGCTGTTATAAAAGAAAATGGGATTTGATGGCACTGTTTTAAAATCAGGCAGCATAGATTACTGCAGCAGATGTAAGTCTAGTTTGATTCAATGTAAGACCGCAAAAGGTGGATGTTTAGAAATAACAGAACAGCTTTTATAGGTTTATTCACTGTAATAGTGTGTGCAAAAGCTTGAAACTGCAAGCTGCTGAGCATTCTGACCCAAGTGCATCAGAACTTGCAGGTACATGGTTAAGTGTGAACAGCTTCAAGTCAAGCAGACGTGCAAGAGCTTTTGCTTGCCAAAACACACAGCCTTGATCTGACAGCGCTGCACTTCCTAGTTACAAAATGTGGGATGATTATTACCTGCCATTCCCCAGAGCTACTTCTAGAAGACATCACTAAGCAAAGAGCATAAAGATACAATGCTTGCATAACAACTGCTGGAAAGGATAGACCTTCAGTCCCCTCAGCTCCCACACACTGGACTCACCCTTCTATATGAAACAAGGGAAGCACTGTGTAACTCTACTTCAGTGCTTTGTAACACCACATCAAGTGACATGAAAAAACATTGAGATCAAGGTGAAAAGCAGCCTGTATACATTGGCAGGACTGACGTTAGCTCAAATAGCTCTGTAGCAGAACACAATTGCTCTTTGGAGCCAGCTGCTGTTATCTTACTCTTTACTTAAATGCTAACAAGGAAAGGCAGCATAATCCTTTATAATCCTTAAATAATTTTTTTCCACATAATGGTACAGAATAACTCTTGTAGGTTGGAAAATGAAACTGGTAAATTGAAGGATGCTTTTCAATGTGACAGTGCACTGCACGTATCATAAAGCCTAAGTGCCTGACTGATACGAAGACCACCTCTACAGGAGAGAAGTCTAAGTTCTTTACCATAAGTACAAAGCAAGTACTAGATCTGTAATGGGGGAACAAAGGGTTTTCAGCTGCAGTATTAAAAGAAAGTGCTGGAATTGTATTTAAAACCTGAAATACCATAGTCAAAAACCACTTCATAAGTAACAGAGGTAAAATACTTCATAACTAATAGATCTTAGCCAAGAACAGCCTACCATCTGTAGTACTGACTGACAGTAAGTTAAACACTGTTTTTACCATGGCTCTGAACTGCACATTCACTCTAAATGCAATCCTGGAACACAGCAGCCCCTCCTACCACTTGCAGGAGACAAGAGTAGATGGGCTCTCTGTACAGTCACTGCTTGGGTGCAGACTGTCCTGCTGCCTCCCCCTTTCTTTACCAACCCCTGACACATGGGCACCAAAGAAAACATTCTAAACCTGGCTTATTGCAGGAGAAGACACCAGAGATTGTGGTGGTTCACCACTTCACCATGTCACTTTGCACTGCTAATCCAGGGCTTCACTTCTTCAGTTGTGGTACAGCTAGAAAAACACAAGTTACATTTGAGCTATCAAAAAAAGCCAATACAGACTTTCATAGCCCAGAGAATTCCACACTGCAGAGGGTTATTTGAGTTTTCCTGGAGAAGAACATACTGTCACTCACAGATGGCATGGCAGAGACAGTTCTAAGAATGAAATCTATGAAAAACTACTGAACATTAATTTTCAACTGCATCTCTACTACATCTACACAGCAATGGTTGCCAAGTTATTCTGATGTTTTTTTAATCTTTCTGAGCAATTTGACAAGACACTGGGATCCAGCTGGTTTTGGTAGCAGTTCTTGTTCCAGCTATGATGCCTAGTGTACTGAGATTATGTAGGCAGCTTCTTTATTTTGGTGCTTAGAAGTTTGTCACTTTAAAGTGTTTTATATAAAACTCAGAAGTCTTACTTTCAAGCAGGAGGGAAAATCTATCACATATTTTTCACCTGAGCCTATCAAAAAGCCTGAGGCAGTTATGCACAGCAAAGAGCATATTTTCTAATCTCTGCTATTAACATCTACTTATTAAACTGGTGCCCACATTCCACACCATTTCAAAGAGAATACCCAACAAATTCTAAGATATAAGTGAAGAAGGCAGCAGCACATCATTTGACAGCTCTTTTTAAAGAACATTTCTTACAACCCATGTAAACCCCCAAGTTTTTCCATGTATAGATCACCAAATCAGAAAACAAGAGGTAAGCAATTCTTTGTTTTCCCAAACAAAATGAACATCCACTACTCACTCTTTCTTTTGACGTTCCTATTACCACACTGGACAGTCTGTTTTCAAACAGGTCTTCAGTCTTTAAATTGCCAGCAGCCCCAGGTAATGGAGGAAAGCTAGATAAACCCAATTCAAAGCTGGGAGATGGAGGTTTTGGGGGTGGTGGAGACTGTGTTTGGCCTCTCTGGAACAGAAATACCAGGTTGGGGTTACTGCACTAGATGACAGAAAAGATATGCAGCTCTAAACTGTATTTTCACTTGATTTGTATCAGCAAACCCCTGGAGAAGGCTCCCCATCTCATCCCTCAAAAAACCCATAGAGTACCGAGAAATAGATGCTTTCATTTTCCACTGTTGCCCTTAAAATATTTAATTATTATTTAAATATCATGGTATATGCATCAGCTTTAGGGACACTGACACAATAAGAAGTTTTCTCACTGACTCTTCATTGAGGACAGGCACAGTGACACACAAAGGAAAACAGACTGGTTTATGTACCATGATATGGTGACAATATAATGCTCATTTATGTACAGTTAGTAACATCCTAAATAAAAAGACAGGAGTCAACAAGAATCTTACTTTCAGATATATGAAGAAAGGGTAAGACAGCATGCCTTGTATGTAGTACAGACAATAACAATTTACATCTAATTAGTATTAATCTGTATTGTCACTGTGTAAAAATAGAATGGTAAGAGTCAAAACTATTTTTGAAACAGACACTTTATAACTAATTCTAAGAAGAAAACCAATGTCTCAAGCAAAACAACCACCTGTGTGTTAAATGCAACTTTTTTGCACTATAGAGAGCAGTTCAGGAGTTAAAAGTACCATGGTTTAAGATCACTTGTGAGAAATGCTGGTAAGGATTTGCAAGTTATTTTATATTTACACAAGAAAAATAAAACTCCTTTGTAATATGCTGTAACTGAAGTTACAAATTAACTTCACCTACATCATGTAAACAAAGAAGTTTTTCTTCAAAGAACTGTTTCTTGACTGTGCTGAGGCCTGTGCTAAGATGATCTCTGCTGCAAAATATCAAATGCAAACCAAACTTTGAAACAGTTCCTATTTTGAAAAGGAAAACACAAGTATATAGTAAGGATGGTGTGAATGTGAGAACAATGCTTCTGAACAAAAAGAACAACAGATATAAGACTACTTTTGAGGTCTTTTCACAAACTATATGTAATGTCCAAAGAATTGCGCATCAAGAGGGAAGCAGGGAAAGAAAAAATACAGAAGCAAGAAAAATTGCAACTCCAATCACTGCTCCTGACCCAGCATTACCCCCTGGAAGAATGCTACAGCAATGGAGACTGCAAATCTCCAAAACTGAAGTCAGATGACCTGTCAAAGGTCAGGGAGAGAGACTACACTAATCCAGCTCAAACTGCAAGAGGAACAACTCGAATTTTTACAAGTCATTCTTCAAATCACACACTCTTCTTAAAGGGGACTGAAGTTCTGCAATAGCAAATGCTTTTATGTTACATTTTAAGTTACACAGTTGAATCCTAAAACCCTCAAAATCTTAAGAGTGGCATTGACATCTAAAATCAGCAGGATAAGAGAGGACTTCAACGAATTTTAAGCTAACTGCATAAAATTTCTCAAGCTAACTTCTTGTAGGTTCAGTACTTGGATTATGTCTACAGTCTCAGCAACAATCTGATCAAAAAGTTTCATGCTCTTTTTCATGCAAACGTGCATACAACTATATCTTTTTTTCCTTTAAAAAGAAAAATCTTCTTTAGAAGTCATTATGCCATTCAAATATACTGGTTTTAGGGGTGTCCTGTGCACACTATCTAATTGCTCCAGCATTACAGAAGAAATAGGATACTGGATTCAATTATTTCCACAGTCTAAAAAAAAGGTAAAACTTCAATCTTTTGGTTCCAAGTACACTTCCTTACAGTCCTGGGTGTGCAGCAGCTCTCACTTCTGCTCATGGTGCAGCACTGGACACTACAGAATAAAGATTCTTGGCCCAGAAGAGACTGGAAGGAACCTGGCTGCACAGGCTGCAATTACAGCTTGGTGCTGACAGAAGAGAACTGTGGGTCTCCAAAGAACTCACAACTACCAGTTTTTACATTCCAAGTTCAAATAATCTTTGCAGTCAGCTCTGTCAGAAGTGCTGCTCTGCTCAGGGAGGCGTCCAAGGTAATCCTTTCACTTCAGCCACTCACACCTAACCTGCACCACTTCCTTGTTCTTTTAAATACAGAAAAATTAATAGGAAAATTTCACTTTTAAAAATTCAAGCAGCTTTGAAAGGGCAAAAGGAAGAAGTACTGGGAATCCTACAGGCAATCTGGTCTCACTGTCTCTGGGAAGTTTGATGAGAACTAAAAGCAATCAAAAGGGAGGAATCACTTGTTAAACTTTCCTGCTCCTTTGTCCTAGTTCACTCAGGCCAATCAACAGCAGGAGCCACAAACACACACATGCAGTGATTCCAGACCTTTAGGGAAGTGTTATGGCTCATGCAGTAGTGTTACTTTACAATTGTACATGAATAAGGAAATAACGTGGTTCAACTTCATGAATATGCCACATGTGGCAAAAATAAACTGCAAAGAAATGACTGGTTTTATCACACCAAACCTTAAATCCTACAAAAACATGGTTTTTTCTCTTCTACACTTAGTGCAGCCTTTTCATGTATCAAGTCTACTTTGGTATTAACCTTAAATTTAAGTTTCCCAAAACCACAGTATTTTAATAGTGTTGGCATACCCTTACCTGGTGGCACCTGAAGAGGCATTTAAGAAAATTAACTGATCACTTAATAACAAATATTTTTGCTACACATTATGCCACAAGGATCTATATAATGTTTTTCACTGTCACTGATTGATAATGAACTATCAAGTGTTTTTAACTTCAGCTGTTTAGCCATTCCTGAATGTGAACACTGGCATGTTGACAAAAACTGAGATGGAAATTTTTTGCTACTCTAAGAGTAATTTTAACTTTTCCCTGACTTCTGCATTAATGGAAAATCAGCTCTGATACCCAAATGCAGTGAACTCATGTGACTAATGAGCTGTTGTCTTTAATCAACTGTAATGTACAACTGCTTCTGCAGTAACTTATGTCCCCTGCTACTCCATGAAATATCCACACTCTTGCCTTGTTACCCTGCTTTTATTAGAGACAAATAAGATCATGAACACTCACTGTAAACTTGTCCTCCCTTTTCTTTCGGTAGCCATATGAGTTTTTCCTAAGGGAAAGAATGCAGATATGAGAACCTTGCCTATAAATGGTTGGAAAGCAGTTAATGAAAACAGGAAAAATTAATTCCAATTGCTATTTCATCCATCTTCATTCTGCACAGGTTGTATTATTAAGAAATGTTTTAGGGAAAAATTCCTAGCAAGCTCTCCTTAAAATAAAGGGATACATCTTATGCAAGTCAAGGTAAGAACAAACTGGTTACAATTAATTCCTGTGTTAAAAACATCTCAGTAGAGATACATATAAGGATTACACAAAATGTTACAGTATATAAATAAGGGGGTCAAAAATTTTTGTATACCAATGTAACTTCTGAAATACAGCTAACTATTTCCAATCCAGGTAAGGCTCCTTCAAAACATTTTTAGCACTTCGCCCCCAGCCCTGCTTCAGGTAAAGCCCCTCCAAGCAGTACAGTAAAATTTGCAGTGCATTCTAATTCAGTTTCAATATATTTTCTACATTAATTTGACTTTCATTATTCTAAACGTATTCAATACTGAAACATCAAAATAATACCATTTTAAGTACTGATTGTTCCTGCACATTTTTAGTCTATAGTTTGAGCCATCTTGTTTCCTGAGTTCTTAATCATACTTTCATCCATTAGTTATAACACAATTTGGTAAATTAGATTTAGAAAAGTATTACAACCCTTGCACAAAATACCCATTTAATTTTGCAATGATACAAGTCTGAAATAGGATCATCTGCAAAATACTTATCTTCCAATTCAGTAAGTCACTCAAAATGTGATTTACTTGGAAGCATAAATACAGCCATTATCAAAGCTGCAGAATACTTTTATGAAGCACTTATTAGAACTGTATTTATAAATATGCCAGTTTTCAGCTCCCCAGGTAGTTGGTTCTGGGTTTTATTAGGTTGCTTTTAAAACATAACAATAGTTTCCTTAGTTGCCTGTAGCAGTTTTTCCTCCCTCCATACCAATCCACCATCTTTGCTGTTGTGTATGCCCAGTTTGGTCAAAATTCTGATCCCTCAACTGAAAAAGTGAAGAATGAGCACTGCTAACACACATTCAGGTGTACAATCTGCAATACTGAACAATGGAATTGGGCAGAACTCCTTCAATAAAGTCAAACAAATAATATAAAAAACTTTCTTGCACCAGATGAAGAAGTGATAGAAGATCTTATAGATCTAAACAGTTCATCAGTTGCCAATAATGATTTTCATCTGGTAGGAAAGCATGCAAGTCTGCTTTGCCTTTGTTCTGTATTCAACACTTTCTGTGAAGTGTTTCGCAAGATTTTAGGTTTGAGGAGAGTCTGAGTTTCAAGCAGCATTGAGAGCAGTAACAATACCACACCTGCACTAAACAGAGCAGTTCAGAAGCAGCAGCACCTGGCTGTTCAGAGGACAACCATGAAGCACACTCACCTCCCCCTCCCTAATCCAGGGGACGAGTCAAGGCTGGTCTGTTCCATCCTCCCAGTCCCCACTTCCCTCTTGGTGTAGCTGGTGGTGGCACTCTGCACCCGTGTCCTGCTTTGGCCCGGCTGCCGCGTCTGTGGACTCCTGACGCCATTGATTAAACGATCAGCAGAAAAGTTGAATATTGTAGGACTGTCTAGAAGCCCAGGTCCCCTTTCTGCACTGGGTATTGTATGGCGTATATGTGACTTGCTAGGATTCCTATAAATTCAAAAGTCATTTCAACATACGCGCACTAGCAGAGACCTTCTGAGGCCTAAGCCTGTTCACAGAATTCAGAAGCAAGATCTTCACTCCTTTATCACTTATTTCAGTTATAAGAATGATCACCATTCATTGTAACAGGTCATGTTAATTATCAAAATTAACCTTTTCCCTGTCTGTTTTCAACTACAGCTTTACTATATGAATAATCCTGTTGATGACATGTCATCTCCCAGAATATTTCAGCTGAATACCCTAAATCACAGAACAGACAATTTCTCAGCTTTCAGACTGTACATTTACATTTCCAAATACTGCATCCATTAACATCAGAAGCACCATCTGCCCTTTGGCCTCACCTTTGGCACCAGGTTCAGTTTCACAAGTACTCTCAAGTGAGCTGGTGTTACTAAAATAAGCAGATGAAAACCCCATGTGCCAGATAATACAACAGTATTGTTAAAAGATAGATGAACTTGCCTGTTCCTGGGAGGATACTGTCTGAGTGTTGTCAGTGGAGAAGCAGCAGGCTTGAAGGTTGGAGATGTGAATCCATTGATAAATCCAGTATTTGGAAATGGTGTTACCTAAAAAAAGGTATCGCAAGCTCATCATTATAAACAAACTGAGTATTACTTTTCTTAACCCCATATTTTATGTCATTCTGTGCAGGACAGTATACTCAAAAGATTGTCTTAGACAGCAATAGAGTATCTGTCTAGTGCCTTGTAGCTGACTTACAAAATGTCTGGAAAAAACCCAAGTTTCTGTTTTTCTGAGAAGTCAGCCACTACACATCTTCAACTTATGACAGCAAGAGAACTGAAAAACATCAAGCCAAAATTCTTGGCTGTAAGTTAAACAGCTCTCCTCCTATTTCACACCATACTACACATGGCTTTGGAGTACCAAGATACTCCTTTGTCAGAGCCTCTAATCTACATGGCCTGTAACTGTTTCTCTTACAATTGTACATGAATTCCTCCCTTAAAAAACCCCAACAACTTCCTTTTAGTTCCCCATTCTACTTCCATGTGACATCTAAATAAAGCCTAGAGAATAAGTGGATGTTAAGTGGAATTCTGATGCTTTTCAGATCTTATCACCTTATTCTACATGTGAAGCACTGTCTTCTTGTCTGAAGAAACAACATTTTCTGGGGTGGGTGCACACTAACGCCTTGTACATGCCTCAAAACCTGGAGCATGCTCCAAGTCATTTCTCCAACCTCACTAGCGCACTTTTGTATTTTTTATTTAAATGTGGGAGTTTCATTTAAGGAACATTACTGTTAGCACCAGCAAATGCTTGCTTGTATTTTTCCCCTGAAAATAACTACAATGCAGAACAAAAAGATTCTTTCTACATTCTATTAAGCTTTGAGAAACAGCTGTGATTAAGACCATTTGCTATAAAGATACATTTAAACTTGAAAAAGGCTTCTTGTGCAAGTTAAATCATTAATCAATGGAAAACAAAATTTAACACCAAAGCTGTCATATCAAACTACTGCTAGCCTAACCTAGCATGCATGACAGCAAATGCTACCTCAGGCTTCACAAAAAGGCCATTAAAGAAGGCCTGTAACAAAGCTCCTTGAGGAACAAAGTTTCATCAAAATATGCTTTGAAGTGTTTCTGGTTTAAGAGTTACAACATGAGTCCTGAAAAATTCCATCAAAGCTAGTAAGCAACCACTGAACCTGAAAAAATGAGAAGACACTGAACTTATCAGGGACCCTAGCAATATTCAACTCTTTTCTTTATAATGATGTGTGATCCTTTTGGATGAAAAAAAAATTTTCCCCATTTTCCAATAATATCAAAAGCATTCACAGAAGTCAACTGGTTAAAATACACTTTCTTTTCAATTTCTTTTTTTTTTATTCCCAAACAGGAAAAACTAGATTTTTTTCTTGAATACGATTTAAGCACATGATGAAAAATGAGGCAGTTTTAGAATCCTGAGGACATGTGTTGCCATATTCAAGTTTCAGAACTAAAATGGTATTGCCCACATGACTGGGGTATTCAATCTCAAATTAGAGATGAGAGAGAGTAGAGTTTATGTTGAAGCAGAATAGAGAAACTTTGCTGTATTTTCACACAAGTCTCTACATGCAAACTGCAACCCTGTCTCATGAAAATTATTGCTGTGTCATGGTTCCTCAGGGTCCCTGTTCTCCTCAAGTGATTCCTATTCAAATATAGCTCTTCCTACAAAAGAATCAAGAAACATCATGTTACAGTCATGTACATAAAATGCAGCTAACCAATGACAATACACTGCAGAACAGTGAAAAGCAAAGCACAGACAGTCGATTTCCTGTTTTGACTAAGAAAAGTTTGAGATCTTTAATGCTAGCAAACTCATCAAGTCTTCCCCAAAAGACAGGACTAACTTGTTTGGATACAGAAAGTTACAGGATAACATAAGTAGATACACAGTATGATGTGCTTGAACCTGTGGCTTATTAATCTTTGTCTTCTGTTTTATTCCCATCCAGCTCATTCAGTATCCCAGAGCAAGACTGTGCAACAACCTTATTCTCAGTTTATCTACAGGCAGATTCAAATTCATTGCTGCTTAACAAGCCAGCTTTTTCCTGGAACAACACTGCTCACTGTGTTACCTTGTCTCCTCCACATTCTCCATCCCCCCCGAACACCTCCCCCTGCAAGGCCTCTGGTTCCCTTCCCTGTGTGTGAAGTGTTTAGCACACCAACTTTTTAATTAGCTGTGGTTCAGTACAGAGGATGTTTGCTCAAGTTTATTCAAGGACACTTTAATCCTCTGCCAAAAAAAACATCTAAAGAACTTCTAATTTTGAGCATTGCTCCCCTCATTTCTTTGAGCCACAAGTAAAGGAGGCATCTCCAGAGGGGAGAAAGAGGCTCCAGATAGGAAACCTGAGCCTCCCAGTCATTACAGGAAACTCCACGTGTTTGTAGGGTAACAAAGGCCAACTAAAAGGGGCCAAGGTAATTCTGATGAGTGTCACAAAGCAGAAGACAGAAGCAGCATTGCAGGATACAGTACATATCTCATTAGAGTATTTAAGGATTTATTGCTACCATCCTAGCTTCAAGCCTTACCAACAGCCCTTTAAGAAAATAATTTAAAAAGCAATTTAAAAGTGATTTTTGTAATTAGCAAAAGCAATTTCACTTTTCATTGCCAAAAGAGATGTTACCATTGCACAGAAAATATTCTGCTTTAAGAACATGCCAAACAGGGCAATTCAGCATGTTAACCTACAATCTAACTTCCTGTTAGAAGAACTTGGTATCTTGACAAGTCTTTACTAAGGAACTGCCTCAAAATCTAAAAGGTTTAAGAAGAGAATCATACTCCAGTCTGAGATCAGACACAATTTTCAAATAATTAATCCATCTTGTACACCATGGCAAGGATTCTGAAGGACTGTTCTTCAAGAAGAACCAGAATCTTAAACTCCCCTCTTCAGGATAAGTATGTTTCCTACACCTCAATAAGAAAATAGTATCAGCTTTGAAAAGAACACAACTGTTCCAGAATCAAGAGACTTACCAATGAAGGGTCAAGGTAGCTGTGTGTGGCTGACCAGGTCTGTGGGCCAATTAAGCTGTACAGTGGGAAGTGCTGCTGGGGACTGTATACTGGAGGGATGTAAAAGGATGTTGTGTAGCGCTGCTGCGTGTAGAGGTTCATATCCAGAGGTCTATATCCATTCTTTGGCAAAAATGTGTTTATAGCTATTGCCTTTGCTTTTATCCTTGCCTGCAAAGGAGATTAGATTATTTATCACAGCAGTCTTTCGAATTGTATCAGGACGGTTCAAATTAGCAGCTCTCAAACTTTTACTGGACACTTATCAGTCACTGCAGGGACAGCAGGATGCTCCCCTGCTGCCTGATGCTGGGCTGGATATACCACTGCCACAAATGAGGAAGAGGAGAGCTGAAGTCATATGTGCTACATTTCTAAACCCACCTCCAGGTGAAATGGTTGCTGAGATTGGACTACTTAACTTTACATTAGAAATCACAGTGAGGACCACAAAACCCGGAACATACACACACACCCCACCCCTAACATCATAAACCTCTATTTACCTTAATTGGTTTTCCTTGGAAAGTCTTCACTTCTTCTCTAAGGTATCTGTAAGCCTTTATAAACAAGAAATTGTTAGATTTGTCAAATATAATTTAAATAAAGGAAACTTAAGTTTTGACAGGCTAAGCCTAACAATAATTCTTGGAGTGTCTGCTAATGTTACAGTATAGCAAAATCTCATACATCACCTGCACTTAGCAACATTTACCTTATCATTAAGTGCTTCAGTAGCATTAAAACAAGATTCTAATGGTTATGATTATAGGATTTCAATGTGTCACCCAAAAAAGTCAAAACTCTCAGAACAAAAAAAATCATAGCTTTAGCCAGGAAGTCAGGATATGCGAATAAGATAAAAAAAACCTCTTAAGTGTTATGTTTAATAGTTACTGAAAATTGGACACAACCTAAGGGGAAGCATTACTGTTTTTACAGCGTGGAGTATGTTTTTCTTTACACATTTGGAATACAGTTTCCAACCTGTCAATTCATCCTCCTATCAGCCTTATTTACTTTTACATTCTAATAAGATTCAAAAAACAGCATTACCTGCTGTGCATCAGCTTCCGATTCAAATGTGATGAACCAATTGTCATTATAGGCAAACTCACAGTTGATGAACTTAGGCAAATTGTCTCCTTTGAAAAGTGCTTCAACCTCCTGGGGAAAGTGGTTTGATAAGGAGGTGGGGAGGTGAGGGGGGAAGGATGGAGAGAAGAAAAGACATCAATGTAAAATGCAAAAGTCTGACACCCTGAGAAAGACACAAAGCACTGCTGGGCTTACAAAACATAAGAGAGTAGTTCAGAACACCTGCAGCAGTGTCAGCTCTCTCCAGTCTCCCCCTGGAAGGCATTAACACCAGCACTGTCTAAGGCCATACTGCAAGAGGCTTAGGTGGGAGCCATTTAGGCCAGAGAAGACATTTAAACTTGGTATCAAGTGCAGAAAGATGTCTATTTCTCCCCTGTCCCCAAAACCATGGAGCCACATGAAAACCTGTGCATACGGCACGGGACAGGAAAATCCTGTCTTTTCAGCAGAAACCTGCAAGTAAGCTTTAACTCAAATGTTTACAGATTGATGTATTTGAAACAGGGCTGATGTTACCTCAAACATGACTGGCTAGTTTCTACAGAAAAAACAGACCCTGGATTTTTTATTTGTTTTAATTCATTTGCATTATTCTTTTGTTTTGTCACAGATCTGAGGTGAGCAGCATCAAAAGGCAACACAACTTGGGAGGCCTTACAGCCTTTGCTGCTTTAATAAAGCCTGACTCTGCTGTGCTAGAAAACATAGGCTAATAAATCTGGTTAGTTAAGTCCAGATTTTTCCAGCACAACAACTTTAAACACAATGTATAAAGCATTTTACTGGAGACCAATACTTCTGAAAATAAAGACTCCTCAGAACTTTGTTGTCAAACATTTAAGAGTGAACATGCAGTGCTAATATATCCAACCTGATGAATTCATGACAGAAAAAAAAAATCTACAATACTAAAACTTAGGAAGTCTTTGTAAGGCTACATTTAATTTGGAAAGCTAGAAGTAGCCATTATTTTAAAGCTGGGTACATAGCACATATCCAACTTCTTCCCTTCAATTCCTTTTAGCATTTTGTTTCATGTTCCTGTTTACTAAGGCCACTTAGTTTTTTGTTACCAGTTTCTACACTGCAGTACTTCTGATTTTTGCACGATGGTTATTAAGAGGAGCAACTCTTTCACAATCTTTAGTCTTGCTTGTAAAATTAAATAAAAGAGAAACTAAAATATATACCCATCATCAAGAATCTGCACCTTCTCCTTTTTGAAAATTCAAGATGGTTTAATTACAACCTCATAATTTTTTTCTAATATTTCCATCAGTCATAGTCCCTGATTCATTGGAGTGGCATTAAGTATCTTTCAAATAATGAAGTTCTCCAGTCTTGCACTCATTCCACAACCCAGGGGAGATCCTTAGTGACTTACTGACACCTCTCACCTCAACATTACAGAAACATTACAAAGCTTTAACTACTTTACTTGAGCAAGCTTCAAGGGGCAACAGTGGCATTTTCTAGTCTAAGATTTATCTTCTTTCATCTCTGTCTATTTATCCAAGGATCTGAGCACCAAGTGCATATAAGTAGGACAAAGCCCAAGAAATAGATGTATCTCTACCAAAGACAGCACTATCAGTTTCTCAGCCCTCTGCAGAACCACAGGTTCGACCACAGCCTTGCTATGAGCAACATACATCTACCAAAAATATTTCTTATCCAAACAAAGACAATAAGTTTAAGAAGTGCTGTTAGAAACTAACAGTGTAGTAGTAAAAAATGTGATGTGCTTATTGAAATCTACAAGAAATCTAACTTCCAAGTCCTAAGGGAAAAGTGTTCTTTACTCAACAAGGGAACACTTACTTCAATGGGAGTAGATTCAGGTACTTCACGTAAAATCACAATACAGCGATTCTGATTTGGCCGAACTTTTTCCCCCTTTTCATCCACTTGAACTAAAGGCAACGCTAAGAGAGAAAAGACAAGAATGCATTTCAGCTGTCAACAAACCTAGGAGCTTTGCACTCCAAAACATGCTGTGAACACAGACATACAACGCAGAGCTTCCAATATTTTTGGAATTAAGAAACAAGCAGACAATGTTTCTGTTCATCATTTACGTGCCTAAAGAATCCTTTCTAGTTTTTTACAAAACTTGTAGCTCTGGCCAAGTACACTCTGAGCTGAGATTTTCCATTTATAACTGGATCTCTGCACACCCTGGCAATGCCCTTGTAGCTCTCACCAGGCATTCATTCACTTTTCCATCTCTGGTATGCCTCTCTCTTGTTGTGAGCAGACTCAGAAGCACAGAGTTAAGCCAAGGGGGTCTCTTGATTCACCTACTTCCCTTACCTTTACAGGGGATGAAATGTTTTTGTGCTTCCAGGAGAGAACTCCCAGCACTAGTATAGTTAGTGCCTTTATCTTCCATGGAAGCTTCCCACAGAATTCTTCCCAGCTGTGCTCTGTGCAAGCTGAAGTTTGCTCTTGCAAAATACAAAACCTTAGAAACGCTCAGTGTGCTCAGCACGACCCCAAACACCACAGTTCTATGACTGGAGCAGCCAAGGCTCCCCCTGACTGAGACATACAGAGCAGGTTTTCTCAGTTTCTGAGCAGTGACTCCAGCAGTGCCTCATTGCTGGCTGGCACACCCCACACTTTATGGGGACACAGTCCTCTGCATGTTCCAGAAACTTGATGGATGGCAGGAGCTGCTGTATTGTTCTTCCCACAAATATCTAAGCCATTGAAACTGACTGCAAGAACCAGGTTTGGCTGACCCAAAGCTCACTTCTTCCTGGTCAAACCACCACATTGACACAAATATTGCTCTGTTGGCCTTATTGTCCTGGTTCAGGTCAGCAGCAGATGCCAGCAGATGCCAATTTCCAAGATTCCCCTTGGAAACACCCCCCAGGGTCTTGGCCCACAGGTACTTCACAGAGCTTCCATTACTGATGCAGCTGATTTCCATCCATTCAAGGTTCTCTTAAACAGTGAGACTCCTCCATCCCTTTTTCCCCACCTGTCTTTACAGAACAGTCTAAAGATACCCATCATGATCCCCCAATCATGTGAGTTGTCCCACCACATCCCACAATTTAAAATCATTAATTCTTATGTGCACAGATCATTATTCAACAGCTGGAATACAGAGTAGCTTTAATAAAACTACAGTCCTATAACTGATGATCTAAGTTGCTTGGGCTACTTAATGCTGTAGAGAAAAATAATGGCATTTTACTGCAATACAGTAAGAGAGAGAAAAAATTCAGATTAATAGTTCTACACCAATAACCAAAATGCTTTCTAGCACTGAGGAACTTTTACTTACATCTCAGCACTTCAACAATCAAATCCATATCAGTACTGAGTTTCTTGACATGATCAAGATTTGCTACTGTCATTATTGGCACATACTGATCACTGTCCATCTGTGATATAAGGTACATGTCACTGGCAAGATTTTCTCTGTTGGGAGAAAAAAAAAGAGAAATGTCATAGATGAACTTTGTCCAATAAACTTAAGACAAAAATTCATTGCATAGTAGAAGGCAGATTCCTTCAGCATTTTTGCTAATTAATGAAAATCACTGGCTTAAAGCTTGCTAAATAGCTTAAATTACTCAGTTTTAATTATGACCAGGAAAGATCACAAAAACTCACCTGATCTGTAATTGCTTGTAACTACTCTCATTTCAAACCCATGTTTTTGCTAGTTTATGCATTAGGCACAGAGCTTTCAGGTAAGCTTTAAGAGGTACATCAACACAACACTCTGAAATTTGTGTGTTACTTTTTCCAAATTCTCATCCTTTCCACCCAGTTTTAAGTAACAACTAAGAAATATATTAACATACATCCCAAGCTGTTAGTCATCCTCCAGTTTGGTCCATTTAGGTAAATACCTACCTAGATAAACAGAATTCCAGTGTCTTTTTCAGTAATTCTCGTAAATCTTCCTGACCTTCTGGCTGCAACTGTTCGTTTCCACCTAATAATTAAAATACTTCAAATTAAAAAGTAGCTCTGCTATATTACACAATATCTATTTTAAACAAGCCATCATGTCTATTACTGACTACATAACTAGTAATGAATTTTCAAATTCAACAGATGTTCATTATGTATTAGTTACCAACTCCTGAAATTGCATGGCAACCTTTTATTTAAGAGAGAAAAGAGAAACCATGTCTGACTTTACTTGTTAACCTCTGTTCTCCAAATACATAAAAAATCTGAAGCACTTTTAGAACAGCTACAAGCACATCTCAAAGTAAACACTGTGAATTTCTAGCTGATGAAATTTCTGGCTGATGAAACCCTGACTAATGCAATGCAAGGAACAATGCAATGGAGGCATTCCTTACTTCCGGTCTCACTCTAAATTACCAACACATTAATTCAGAGAAGGTTTTCAAAAATATAGTTATGGAATATCAGCAGATATCCAATCCACTAACAACAAATATGCAATCAATTTACAATCTTTTGGTTAAGAAGGCAAAATTAATTTATTTTTTATATATGTAAGTTTAAAAATTATCACATGGAAAACAGGAACCCCATGTTTCTTTTAAGTTTAGACACAATATACCAATGTCAGTAGATAGTAAACTCATAGAGTCAGTGGGAGAAATGTTTCAAGAGTATAAGTTTTGTGTGGGCTTTAGAGATTTGTAGAACATTTAGTAGGACATTATTCATGTTAATATGTATGTGTGTAAATGGAAATTGGCTTTTTAGAAGCATTTCACTACTGTCCTCTATACCCTTCCCTTCACTAACTTTCATCCTTTTATTCAGCTCTCCTTGGGCTTTCTTCCTCCTAAAGCAACTTTTAATTTTCTCACCATGGTGTCCTCCACATGTTCTCCTCTGACGAAGAGAACACCAACACTTGAGAAATACATGTATCACGTTCCAACTGTATTTCCTTTTATATGCATTTCTAAAATAATTACTAAAACAAATGAAAGATCAGATTTCAGACTTGTGAATGTGCCACTACTCATCAAATAGAACAGACCCAACCTGCTGCTCAGCTCTTTACAACACCATCGAACTTGTGTTAAAAGTTAACTCCTTTGGGCACATAAAGGACACACTGACAAGTTCCAGCAATAATCTGAAGAATGCTGCTCCCTTCTAGAGTGTGAGGCACCATTAATACAATTTCCTATCTGCCAGCTAGTTACTATTTAATATTCCCCAATATTACCCTTAAGTACAAGACTCAATGAGAACTTTCAGTTTTCAAATATAAGCAAAGATGATACCACAATGATGTCTGATTTTCTGATTTCAGTTGCCTTGATTTGCAGCTATTATGGCTGCTGTACTGGTAATTTTAAATACTAAATCAGCTAAGCATAATGAACAGACCTGTTGTGAATCTCAAGAAACACCCAGTACATTTTCCTCTACTTCCCATCCCTCATCTCAGTTCAAGTAATAATCCTACATGCATCTTGCAGACCTTCTGTCCCATTCCATAAAATATAAGCATGGTGAATATCTATGCTAGTTTCCAGAAGCTTCTTAAAACATACCATCTGGTATAGACTATAGCTTCTTAACAGTTGCACTGAAGAGAAATTCTGGAAGTTGATTAAATAAGAATGTGAAGAACTTAATACTATAATGTTGCTTCTATTTCAAGTACAAAATGGGTCTTTCCCTGCATTAGCATTACTACTTGAGACAAACTGTATGTCAACCTCACCTCAGGACCTGACCCAACCAGAAACATGCATTTGTTTGATTCTGGGCAAAATCTTGGAAGATTTAAACCAGGAGAAAACTGGTCTCTAAACATGTCCAAGTTTGACTGTATAACAGACAGGAATTCCTAGGGCCTGTTTAAAGAATGCATCCATTGAACGAGAAAACCGGTACAGCTCGTAGCTTTTTTTGTTTTTCAGATGCTCACTGTTTAACTCAAAACACAAGTTCAGTTTGTTTTTAAGCTAGGTCTAAGCACACCCCAGGTTTCTCTCACCTGTCTGGGTGGTTTCGTGCATAGACTCATACTCGGAATGATCAAGAGCCAAAGGGTTCATGTCCGCCTGCTCCGAGCCCGGCACGGCCGCGCTCGGCTCCGGCAGCTCCGTCAGCACCGCGCTCTGATGCTGCTTGTCACCATCGCCATTGGCATCCAGTCCTGCAGCACACACCACCAACACGCTCAGGAGTGCTCCTTCTAATCACACTAATGCCAGTTACTATGGCATTTAAACAACAGTTAAAACTACATCTGAAATAAAAGTGTTTACATACATGCTTTATGTTTTTTACCAGAAAATTAGAATTGAGACAGTGCTGCACCGAATTTTAACTTCTGCTCGAGCAACAGGCAGAAACTCTTGCTCATACCTTCTTTACAGGAATCTGGAGGCTGGTCAGGTATTTCTTCCCACGTTTTGCTCACGCTACCATCAGTGGCACCACTTGCTTCCAAGTGTAACATATGATTTCCCCACACCTTTGCATTGGGGTTTAACTCAGAAACCTTGGTTGACTCCTGCAAAAAGAAATGGATTATGCATTTCAGGGATGCACAGCAGGCATCTGGTGCACAGACACATTCAGTTTCAAACAACAGTATCAGACATACAACTCAAGATTTTACTCATGTTTTTTCACACCTGAATATATTAACTGAGTTCCCATAATCATTTCAGGTACACAACTGAACTGTGGTGCACAGTATTCATTTCCTTGATTAAAACCACCAGAAAAGGTTATTCAAGCAGAGCAAATGACAACAAACATTTCATTCTTTGCCTTTGACAGACTAACTCAGCCTGTACTTGACGCAGACTTCAGGCAGTTCTCTAATATACATGTCTTCTTGATGTTGATTATATTGCTAATCATATGTTACACTTTTATCTGCAGATCAATCTAACAGATGTTAGATGTGTATCTATTGTATCTGCAAAATAATACTTAAAAAAAAAATCAAGAAAACACAAAAGTACAGGGATTTTTCTGAAATTATATAAACGTGTAACAGTTTTAATGAAACATGGAAAATTGAAAGCAATAAGATGTGCATGACAACTTCTGTTACTACATTTAGAGGAGGAACAGAGTGTTAGGACAAAAAGAATGAATAACCATATCCAGATAAATCATGTCAAGATAATCTCTTTTAACCTGGATTGGAAATGGACACATTTAATGATTACATATGGTTATATACAACCACCATATAAATGGTCACATCTGTGCTTAAGAAAGATGGCTCTCTGCAGTGCAAACATCTACTACAATACTTTAGAGTAACATGAGACTTGTTTTGCTTATGTTTGAGCAAAATGCATTGGACTATTCCACACAAAATATATGTTGAGTGTTTTAATGTAATTACACTGGGAAAGAATATTGCTCATGATACGACACAATAAAAAAGCTTATTAAAAATTTGCTTTCTAAATTTACAGATGCTAGGAACATTACAGCGTTTCAAGGCAGGTACTCCAAAACCCCACAAAGCTTTAAATCTTCTTAAACACACACATTCAAATACTTATTATCACAGTGCATAGAGAATATATCCAGAAAATAACTTTAAAAATTTTCCTTAAATACATCTCCTGAATGACAGAGAAGACTTACAAAAAGTGGAAGCGTTTGACATAACTACTTGCATAGTAAGATTCAAAGATGACAGCAAGATCCATCAGTTTCCATTTTTAATATAAGAAGTTCCCCCAGGAGAGAGCAAACAGCCTTGAGCACAATCCACTGCCCACACTGCGAGTGCTGGGCAAGGTCAGAGAAACTGTTCCAACACAGCAGCGAGGGAAACAACTTCAGGGAAGCTCAGCAGGGAAGGAAAAGGAGCAGCAGCTGCTCCAGGTTGACTCTGCAGAGTGGGTAAGGCTGGAGGGGACCACTGGAGGTCATCCAGCCCAACCTCCCTGCCTGAGCAGGGCCCACAGAGCAGCTCAGGATTGTGTCCAGACAGCTTTGTTTGTTTGCTAGCCCAGCTAGCCAAGATCCAGCCTAGCTCTTTCCTCTTACTTCTCCTGCAGCCACTCCTCTCTACAGCACTACTCACCTCCAGGAGTGAGGAAAAGATTTCCTAATTGCTACCAAACAAGAACTTCATGAAATCCACAACACATTTCTTCCTATACAAAACTAAAGAGCATTAAGAATGGTTTGTAGCAAGCTTCCTTTCTGCACACTGTTTATCTTAAGTTCAGTTTAAACTGAGAACCTGCAATCAAGTTACTTTGCCAATGACTGAATTTTCACACAAAGTAAACAGAAAAAATAAAATCAATATTCAACAAAATTTTTTACTTCTGCATTCTGTAGAAGAAAAGCATTCACAGAAATGCATTCAGCTTTTCAAAGGAAAGGGAGTCATCAGGTTCAGGACAAAACAACATCTATTTAACTAATGAAACCACAGTCTGACCTGGCTTAGTCAAACTTCTAGCTTCACCTTTAAGCTTTAAGAGCAAACCACTTCTGCAGAATACTTACAAGTTCATCTTTACTGTGCCATCCCCACGTACCAGCACATTCCGGCGCAAGCTGATATGGGTATGTTTCCACTGCATATGAAGCACCTGGTAAATTTTCAGGTTCATTCTGGAAGTTTTCATTAACTATACACAGTCTATCATTCTTCATGGTATCATTAGAAGCTGCATTATTCCATAAAAAGCCCACTAGATATTCACCATTACCAGAAGGAACCATGTCAGAAAGCAGCTGATTTGTCCAATCAGCATTGCCAGTCTGAAGATTGATGAAATGTGGCCACATTTCTACGTGGGGATTTTGTCTGTCCAGGTCACAGGACTGCTTCTGCTCACTTGATCCATCTTCCATCAGACCTAACACACACTGCTCTCTGCTTTGCTGAAATCCTGCTGCACCAGGAGAGGCACGGGCTATTTCATAGGAAGGAGTAGCAGCATATTTGTCTACCTGCTTTGGGTCAACACAAACTCCGAACTCTTTGTTTGAGAAAATCTTGTGATCTGGCTGCATCTGTTCCCAGCTTGTGGTCAAGTCATTCATCTGAGTATTTAATATGTAACTGGTGTTTTTCAGTTCAGTAGTCTTGGCTTGCAACTGCTTCAAATTCCCCCTGGTAAAAGGTTCTAGATTCTTAGCTGATAAACCAAAACCATTGAGGTTCTCCTTTGCGTGGATGCTGACATACTGGTTTACTTCACCATCCTGGAAATTACATTCATTTACATCACACATACTTTTTTCACAAGTTTCTGATCTATCCTCTGTAAAAGGCACAACAGAAACTTGAGTGTTCTCAACTTCTGGCTCTGGACTGGCACAGTGACACAACTCAGGCTCTTCTGCTCGTTTGTCATGCTCATGAGAACATGCATTTTGACACAATACAGGTAAAAAGTTATGGTCTATGTTTAAGAGTTTAGTGGCATCTTCCAGATTTTTTGTGGCATCTTTTAATTTTACACTGCTGTCCATACAGCTGTCCGTGACTGCAGGTGCAGAGGAGTCAGAGGGAGCATTCTGACTGTCAGCCACGCCTTCACTGCAACTGAAGATGCCTTTATCACAATCAGCAATGTTAGCATCCAGACTCTGTTTTACATTTTCTACCCTGTTATCAATGGACTCATTTAGCTGACCTTCAAATTTCGTCTGTTTTACAGCTTTTACTACATGCCCAGCTGTTTTGGCTGACTCAGTCTCTGCACTCCATTGATTTTCCACTGTGTGGAAGGAACACACATCCTGTTGCTCATCTTGTCTGCTGTTCATATCTATTTTATTCATATGCTCACATTCCACAGACACAGAAGAGACACCGGTTTTGTTATCTGAATTTGAATATTTGCATACTTTATTCTCTACTAATTCTTGTGAAACCTGACACTCTAGGGTGTTTTCCTTTAGGAACATTTCATCTGTGCTTGGATTATGTGCATGAGATGTCACAGTGCCATCACTTATCCCTGATCTAGTTCTGCTCAAGTTACCAGCTTCCTCAAGAAAGTCACCTTTTAGTTCAGTGGCACTCACACAGATCTTCTCCTCCATGCCAATGTGGATTGCAGCTTCAGATGATGCCCGGATTTCAGCACAACCCTTACTGTGAGTTTGAAAATCAGAACCTTCCTCCAAGTTTAGCTGTGTTTCAGTCATGTTCAAAGCTTCACAGCTATGCAAAACTGTACCAGTGCACGTCTCTCCCTCTTTTAAGGATTCTTCAAAAGTGCTGTGATGTTCACTAGAGTCTGGTGAAAATGTTTGGCTATTACCATATGTTCTTTCAAGTATTTTCTTTTCCACATTTGAGTTTACTTCACTTTCTGGCTCCAGAAAGCAGACCTCTTCATCAAGTTTTTCTACATTGTCCATTTCATGTAGCTCCAATGATAATTTAAAGTTACCCCCTATGTTGTCTACCACCTGTTCAGTATTTATTTGCTCTACAACACTTGAGGGATGCCTAGTTAGTGGCACAACAAGTGGCACAACATCAGAATGATTACTTCCCTCCGTTTTTCCTGAATTAGATACTCCAGAGTTTAATAACACATTGGAAATATGATCACTGTTCTTCACCTTTTCTGAGTGAGGGCTGTATTGGTCCTCTCCAGCAGCATCCACAGGCTTTACAAAATCACAAGCAGTATGCAGTGATTCATTGGCAGCACTACCCATGGTACATACCTCCTCTTGCTGATTCTCAGGGATGATTTCACCAGGCACTTTTGCTTTTAAGACATCTGTTACTATACTATCAGTATTTAACCTCTGCACCTGACAACTGTCAGTCAGTAAGTGATCAAAAGAACACTGGATGTCTAGGCTACAATATTCCTTTGTATCCTTTTTCTCCATGTTTGATCTATCCTCTTTTTTATACTCAAACAGTTCTTTCTGTGAATTAAACTTAGCTTCCACTTGTGCCAATTGTTGCATTGGAAATTCCTTCCCTCTGTCTAGAGGTCGTGCCATGGTGCACATTCCTTCATCAGTAACAGCTGAGTTATCTATGGCTGCTGCAGTCTCTCCATGCACAGTAGCTGGCACCTCTTCATCCCCTTTCAGATCTTCTGCATCTACAACACAAATGCTGTAAAACTCCTTGTCTTTCACATTTTGACTGTTGTCTACATCAAGACAGGAAAATGTTGGAGACATCTCTCTATATGAGCTCAAAACTTTCTGTAAACTGTCACTCTTGCTGTCTTCAACATTTACTCTTATTTCATTTTGCCTTGAATGGTCACATGTAACTGCATAATCCTCCAGAGAATTTCTATTTAAGGAAATTTCACTCTGTAAGCCTTTGTCTACTATATCTGCTACATGAGAATTAGAAATATGATCAAACAAGCAATGCTCTCGTGAAGGTACATTTTCATTAGTAATACTGCTATTATTATCTTCTATATTGTTCACATACTGACCATTACTATTAAGTTTTTTAGGTGCTCTTTTTTTAATAATCTTATCTTTCTTTTCTTCACTTCTCTGCAGATTTCCATATGTACCAGAGAC